GCGTCTTTGTGGGGATGCCGTTCACCCATAGATCCATGTATATATGTGTGCACACATGTGCATCACCCATAGATCCATGTATATATGTGTGTACATATATGCACACAAGGGTTTATGGGGATGCCACTCACCCATAGAGCCATGCATACATGCATGCACACATCTGTGGGGATGCCATTCACCCACAGATCCATGTATATACGTGTGCACACATGTGCGTCACCATAGATCCATGTATATATGTGTGTACATACACGCACGCACTTGTTTGTGGGGATGCCACTCACCCACAGATCCACGTATACATGTGTGCACATATGTATACACATATGTCTGTGGGGATGCCATTCACCCATAGATCCACGTATACACATGTGTACATACATGGACGCACGTATTTGTGGGGATGCTATTCACCCACAGATCCATGTATATATGTGTGCACACATGTGCATCACCCATAGATCCACATATACACCTGTGTACATACATGCACACACGTGTCTGTGGGGATGCCATTCACCCACAGATCCACGTATACACGTGTGCACCCACACATGCACGCGTGTGCATTACAGCAGCTGGAAGAGGTGAGGCAGGGAGGCTGGACAGAACAGCTAGACCGTGGCCACTGAGCTGAGCCCGAGAGGACACTGGGGATCCGAAGCAGGGGCAGTGAGGGGGCAAGCACATCCCGGCTGGCCACGAGACGGCCAGAGCAAATTTTTTCTTGGCCTCTGCGTGGTAGTTCTTCTCAGTCAACAGAGGGACATGGAAGGCCTGGGGCTGGACAGACTTTGGGAGATTGCCTCACTCAACTCCTTCACTTTTAGGAAGAGGAAATTAAAGGCACAAAAAGCCAGGGACTGGTCTGGGACGACAGAAGGGGTACGCTGCCTCAGCACAGTCCGGACCTCAGTGCTCTGCCTCCAAAGCCAGTGCTCTTTCCACTTTACCACACTGCTGGAAGAATCAAACCCAAATAGCCCCCCACCCCCTTCCCGGTCCACGGGCGTGGGACGTGGCTGCCCACGGGCTCTGTGAGGAGTGGAGGCATAACTGAATCCTATTGTCCAACGCCAGGTCGACTCTGCAGGGTGGGCCTCCCCACCCTGGACAGGCAGTGTTGACGGATATGGCCACACAACAACCTGGGAGGTGGGGCTATTTCTGACCAGGCTGGAGACATGGTCAGGACTGAAGGAGAGCAGCCCCCCGCACACAAGGAAGGAATGAATTGAGACCTGAAGTACCTTGGAAGCAGCCAGTTCCTGGGTAAGATCCTGGATTTTCTGTTGCTGCTGGACCAGTATCTCCTGGACTGAGGCTAACGTCGCCTGTAACTGAGTCACTGTGCAGGAAAAAAGCAGTTACAGCTCAGTGAGAGCGGCCCGTGGAGCTTTCCTCCTCTCTCTCTCTCTCTCTCCCTGGCTCTGGCTCTCTCTAATTTATCGAGGGATGCTCCCTCTCCCTCTCTCCTCCTTATAATTTATCTGCACTGTGGGCAATCTACCTGCACTGCGTCTAACCTCCAGTATTTCCAGTTTATCTCGCCTTTGTAGAGATGTCTACAGGCAACAGTATATCCATCCAAAACCTCTCCCTCCTAATTAGATCTACTCAGGATTTGCTCAGCTCTCCCAACTTCGAGGGGGTTTGCATCATTCATCTAGCGGGGCCTCACACATGCCCTCGTGGAACTAGCAGAGAATTTCCAATTCCGAAATTGAACGATTTCCCTTTCCTTCCTGCTAAACGCCGCCCAGGAAAGACTAAGAAGAGAAGAGTGGGTTTCTCCGGCTGCTCCTCCCTGGTGCTCCATCCCCTCCCAAGGGTCACGGGGGCTGCCCTCCCCGCTGCTGGCCAGCCGCCCCCATCGTTGGGTGCACAGACTCCAGAAGGCTTCTAAGGCCAACCCCCCACGAGCCCCAGGCCACAGCCAGGAGAAACTCTTGGCCTGTGGTTTGGGAAGCAATTCTGCTCGCTTTTGTTTTTCAATCCAGAACTTCCATCCCATCAACAAGTTCACAAAGGAAAAAAGAAGCCCACCGGCGTGACAGGTTACAGCTAATCTGGGCCATCGCAAGGGTGCCGGGTAATGAACCAGAGCCCCGTGGAGTCAATAACAGAGAAGGTGGCCGGGGTCGCGGGAGCCGCAGTAATTACAGGCTCTCTTGACCCCACTTTGAATTCTTAGAGGGAAGGGGGAAAAAAATCACCGAAAAACCCCCCTGCAAACCTCGGAGAAGCAGAAATTAAAAATGAACTTTACAGCCCCTAGAAAGGCTGTCATTTTATTCCCCTTATTAATATTCTGAGGTTGGGAGCCTTTCCGTAAAAACATAATTAATTGAGGCCGCGCCGACAGTAAACAAGCAATTTCAAATTAAACCGAAATGACGGCGGCTTCATTTGCAAATGTGAACAGATTCTCGAGCAGATAAATGAAGTCACCGCATAGAGTGGAGGAGGAGGGTGGGGGGCACTCGTGGGGGGCTCAGAGGGGCGAGCTGATGGAGCCATCAGTCTCTACCTGTCTGCGTCATGCTGCCGCTCATCTCCGAGATATTCGCCTCGATTCTCTGAAGCTGCTTCCTGTCCTCCTTGCCTCCCACGAGCAGAGGGAGCAGGTACTTCTGCAAGAAGCAGGACAGGTGTCAGCAGTGATCACTTGCCCCCAGCTCCCGGCCCCTCACTCCCCACAGACACCCTGGCTCCCCTGGACCTGCTCTTCCTTCCCTCCAAAGCCGAGTCTGGACACACACCTCACGAGAGCTGTCTCAAAGTCAGGGGAGAGGCCAGGCTCAGAAGACCGCCATTTCTAGGGCCCTCTGCTCTGCTGGTGGCTTACTGCAAAGTCTCTGGCTACGGAGGGGCATCGCAGGAAGCCCACCCCTAGTCTGTGAGCTCTCAGAATGACCCCCCAGTAAACCCCTCCAGAGCTGGACTCAAAGACAAGCCCTCTGACATACGAGAGAGAGGGGCTAAGGGAGGTACGGAGAGAAGGAAGGCGCTTCCAAGAAACGAAGGGTCAAGCGACAAGCATCGGCAGGGCAGAGAGGACACAGGAAGAGGAGGAGGAGGAGGAAGGCCCGCCCCGAGCCCCCTAAGCACCAGGCAGGTGACCACGCAGCCTCATCCTGAATGGGGAAGCCCAGTCCTCACGTCAACTCTCAGCTGGCAGCTCCAGGCCCACCAGGTGTGTCTAAACTCTTCCCTCGGACTATTGTTGACCTAGGCCCCACAAAAGGAGAAACAGCAACTTCTCCATTAGCAGTTTCTTACTGGGGAGGGAAAAGGAGGTGACTCACAAGGGGTTTGTGGGAACCGCTCCTAAGTGAAGCTCGTCGTTTCACATTTCTACGCGAGCACCTTCCAGTCTATTCTGCTAAGTGCTTTTCCCAATGGCTGGTATCAGTTCTTGCCCACAAAGTTCCCACTCGAGTGGAGACTCGGACAGTCCAGAGGCAGGAAGTGAGTGGATACTCTGAGCGAGGGTCCTCCTAAGGAGGGAGGATCATTTACCCAGCCCCCCGGCATAAGCTCGGCCTCTCTCTCACTTTATAACCACCTTTTATAACCACACCTGGGTGGTTCCTTTCATTCATTCATCTCTTTTCCTACTCCCAAGTCACCCAACCTCTCAAAGGCAACCTAAAGGCTGCAGAGAGAGAAGGTGCAGACAGGCACTGACCTCGGGAGTTGCCTCTCCCAGTGACAGCACAGTTCCTGGGCCGATCCCCCATCCCTCGCCTACCTTTCCACTCCCACTCCCCTCTCTCTCTAAGGCCCAGAGGGAAGGAGACCAGAACTTACTACCCACATCCAAAGACACGTCTTCCTGGCTATATCAATGGGACAGTCCCAGGTCCTTGGACTGCACAATGAACAGCTATTTTGCCATTACTTATTATCTATCATATGAGGCACTGATTTGAAAAGACTTTGAGGAGTTTACTCCTCTTTCTAATTTGACAGTGTTTAAAATGCAGTTTTCTACGTACAACAAATAACACATGAAGGAGAGGGCCAGGACTGGAGAACTTTTGTTTTGAATTTTTGATGCTGAAACATTTGCCTCTGGCACTGGTCTTTACATACAGAAAGGTATCTGCTGTTTTTTAGCCAGCCAACAGCTTTTGAATCAGGCAAAAACTAGGAGTCCTGAAGCGGAGGTGCACTGTAAGCAATGTGAGTTTAACTCTCAACAAGTTTACCGAATGGGATCGAGGGGACTCTGGATTCAAGTGTGGGTTAGACTAAGGAACCTTTCAGGGCCTTTCAAGGATAGGATTCTAGGAGGAAAAGCGATCCTGAATATCTCAATGAAGCACTCACAGAGGCGAACAAGGGCAGGGATGGTGCAGAAAGTGCCCCAGCACGGTGGGAACAGTGTCCTCCACTCACTCTCTCATCCCTGTGTTCTCAGGCACCTCCCACCTTCGGGGGATAAAACTACTCAGAATGACTCCAAACCACAGCCTGGCCTCCTCTTGGTCAGACCGCTAGCTCCTTCTGGGAAATAAGGGCCAATCTGAAGGGCATCTTTCGGTGGGGCCATCAACTTTGAGATCCCATGTTTTTGCATGAAAACTCTTAGCAGATTCACAGCCTTCTTCAATGAGCAGAATGTGTTTGTTTATGAATAACACCTTAGACTTATATGCAAAAGAATGTAATATACCTGCAATATAAATGGCTGAAGGACAGATCTACGTCTGAGACCGTCATGCTTCTGATCACACTGGCATCCACAGATAGGAGAACCTGAGCTATCTATCTATGGCACCCTCTGCACCTCTCACTTGTCACATTCGAGTCCATAACCTGCTAGCAGGGAAATGGTCATTGTGACCTTTCCTTGCTCTCTGGGGGGGACAGGGGAGGTCTTCCTGCACAGACAAAGGGAGGGATGCATAGAAGCAGCACGCTTGGCAGCCTTCTCAGGACCTCAGCCCCGAGCCACACATACCTTGTAGAGCTGGTGGAAGCCAAAGGCGATGCCTGCCATGATGATGGTCAGAGCCCCATAATCTCGCCATCTAGAACCTGTAGGGTCTAACGGTAGGAGAGAGAGAAACACAAGTGAAGAAAACAGACACCACAGTCTCCTTCCAACTGGAGGGGAGGGAGAGGAAGGAGGAGCTAGCTTGCCCAGGGCCACAGAGCTAGTAAGTGTTGAAAGCAGAATCAGAACTCTAGTCTTCCTGCCATCGAGGGCAGCCCTCTGCTCACTGTGGCCCCTCGGGAGTCTCCTCCGTAAGCGAGAGAAGGACAAAGAGGTGGCCCTCTTAGAAGCAGAAGCAATACCACAAAGGACGTTCCTGCCCAGGACACCATTTGGGCCCTCCCTCACTCAGGTGAGGCACGATGCGAGTCCACAGCAGGGCCCACTCGCCTGCTCTGCCCCTGCTGCTCTCCATCAGCACAACGGTCAGCGCTTGGAGAGCCTCCAGAGTTCATGGGGGAACCCTTTCAACCAAGGCCCAGGGTCAGATACCTGAAACTCCAAGGCCACGTCCCCTAAACGGCACTCCCATCACACTAATGTCACAAGAAAGACAAGAATCTGGAAATGGATTTGGGAGAAGAAAAGAGCAATAGGAATTGTGACCCTCATTAAAAGAGCATCAGAATTCAGCTGAGCAAAGCAGAGGGACTAATTCTTCTTCTCACCAAATGCAACCAAGAGCCCCCTGTAGTTTCACGCCCTTCCTCCCCTCCCCTCCAACACACACGCATGAAGCGGCTGGCAAGGCCTTCACGATGCCCGGGGTTTTCATTAATAATCCAGAGGCAGCAGAACGATCTTTCTTAAAGTTCAGTAGCAGGATGTGGGCACACACACCGAGGGGGCCTCTGGCCAACAGCCCAGCCAAGGCAGATCCATGACCAGAGCCTTCCCAGGGTTCGACAGAGGCACCCCCCCTTCTCTCCCCCCCCCCACCCCCGCTCAGCTCTGCTCAATGGGCTTCTGCAGAGACCGAGGTTCCGTCCATCGATCGAGATGCCTGGAAGTGTCTTTCCTTGGCCACCACACTCACTCACCCACGCACTCCCTCAGTGCCTGTGGATTTCAGATTGAGCTCTGCCAAAGCCAAGACTTGCCCAGAGCCGCTTTCATAAAGTAGTAACTGGGAAGTTCTCCCCTAAACTTTCCTCTCAGGGTCTAGGAAGCATCCTCCAAGAGATGCCGCCTAACCAGGGTGTCCAGATATGTGGAGGCCCCCATCTGTCATAAAACAAAGGCGACAATCTCTGGGAAATCACATACCTGCTCCTAGGACCTGAGAGTTTTAAGAAGGCTCCCAAAGCATCTGGTCCAACCCATGCCTCAAAGGAGTCCCCTTCACAACCTCCAAGCCATGCCTTCATCCACTTTCACTCTTACTTAATTAGAAAACAATGAGCCAACTAGAGAATTGGTTAAGAGCATGGAAGGCAGTATTGGCTGGAGTTGGCTGGCTCTCTGACCTTGATCTTACACAGTGCAGGGAGTCAGAAGGTCAGCTTTATGTGCTTGTCCCCTGGCCATGCTTCTAATAAATGTTCAATATTAGGAGAATGGAGACAAGAAAGCACAGTGCCTCCTTAGGACAGTCAGTATTCAGCTGGGCTTTACTTAGGGCATGAGCTATCCATTATATGGCCTTAGACCTGAGAGAGAGCAGCATTTCCATCCTTGGCATGTACTCAGAATAACTAACTACACCCACATTTGTTACTCCAAAATCCACTGAACACACACAAGGTAAGAATCAGCAACTGGGTTGAAATCAGGAGCACCAACCTTCAAAAGCACATTCTTCCAGGCTCCAAGGGGTTAAAGGCATGCCAAGAAGAAGAGTTAGCTTCAGAGCTGCTCCCACCTTCCAAGCGCCCTGACCCCGGTGCAGAATTGAGAAACACCTGTAGATGCACCCTTCACCTCTCTCATCGCTCCCTCCGTTCCTGTCATGCTCACGCTAAGAACATTTTATTGCCCTCTGGTTTTCATTATTAATGAAAAGGGACCAGAATGATCTTTCCTAAAGTTCAGAGAGTCTATAAAGAGAAGAAGCTGAAATGCCATTTGACTCGTTTTGGAGATGGTGATACAACTCTGTCTGGTGGCAAAAAGGGAAGGAGAAGGAAGAACAGGCCTGGGGAGGGCTCTCACTAGCCTGAGGTGCTTTCAGAGGGAAGGAGGACTCAGACTCCGCCACAGTGATAATGTTCTCCAGGTCCTGGTCCAATTCAGTTCAACAAATGTTTATTAAACACCTACATCTGGCAAAAGTCCTCCTTCCATCCCCCCCCCACCAAACCCCAAACTACTTGGCTTCTTCCCTTGAGCTCCTTCCCCCCCATTCCCTCAGATCTCCCGTGGGAATCAGAGAAGAGACCCAGGGAGGACACAGAACACACGCGTCTCCTCCCTGAACCTCCAGAACCCTAAAGAGAGCTGCGAAGGCCAGGCCAGTCGACCTCCTGCTCCATGAGCTGTGAGCTCTGGGAAGAGAACCTGGGCATGGACACAGACCAGCCTCGTCTACAGGCGATGACGATTCCCCAGAGAGAAGGCGGAAAGTGGTCAGGAGCTCAAGAACCCGGAGACCCCGAAGCCTCCCGAAGCCAGAGCAGGGCTTCTCTTTTTTACCCAAGGCCAGATTCGCAGAATGAGACAGGAATCTGCTGCAATCAAATAGCACAGCAGAGCAACAAGAACTTGCCTTTCTATTAGGTATGGACGGGCAGCACTAACTAGCTACCAAGTCAAAACAGTCTTCAAAAGGAGACACTTGGGATTCCAAGGAGCCATCATGACCATCTTCAAGAACAAGGAGAAGACGCCAACCTGCAGACCCCCAGCGCTGGTGAAAAGTGCTCCCTGCCTGCCCCCAGGCCCAAAATGTCTCCTTCCTCATTCCCACCTCTTCAAAGCCTCAGCTTTTTTCAAGGCTTAGCTCAAGGTCTGGCCTCCTCCCTGAGCTCTTTCCTGATCTCCCCATTTATTTGGGTTCTTCTCCCCCACTCCGCCCAAAAGTACTTGATGTTTACTTAGCATACAGTTTACACTAACTCATCTGTTGTGTACACAGCCCCAAGAGAATCCAAGTGCCCTATGAGCTGGGAGTGTCACACTTCTGACTCTCTGTCCCCAGTGCCTAGTACAGGGCCTGGGGCCCAGCAGGCACTTAAATGCTTGATGAATGAATGAATGACACACTTCAGTATCCCATGGACAATATTCTACCTTGGGTCCTTCGGGATTCCCTAAGGATGCTGGGACCACAGATTTGGAGCTATGAAACACCTCAAGAGGCCGTCTGGTAACAACTCTCTCATTTTGGAAATGAAACGGACGCCCAGAGAGCTTAAGGGCCCTGCCCACAAACAGGAAGTAGCAGAGCAAGAATCGGAACCCAGATCTTCTGACTCCACAGCCGGCTTTCTCCTTCCTGTCCCCTATTGCCTTCTCTACCCTGAAGGGATCCAAGCTCCTGGAAGGCAGGAATAACTTAAATTTCATCTTTGTATCTCCAGCACCTCTCACGGAGCAATGCACCGGGTAGGTGTTTGATAAACATTTGCTGAACTAACTGGACTAGGATCCGGGAAACACTACCTATGTCGGCCAATTAGACTGGCCTTGCTGCTTTAGGGCACAAAACAACATAATGTGAGCGTGAGGGCCGAGTACAAAGAGCACTTGGTACACCTGCGGTCAGGAAGCCCTGAATTCAAATCCTGCTTCAGGCACTTACTCACTGGCTGGGTGACTCTAGGCTAGTGTGCCTCCGGTTCCTCAAATGTAAAATGAGGACCATAATAGCATCAATGTCTCAGGGTTGTGAGGACCAAATGAGATAACTGCAAAACGTTTTGCAAACCTTAAAGTGCTCTGTAAGAGCCAGCTGTCATCATGAGTGTTACTGTTGTGCCGTGTGCATCCTGCTCCCTGCCCTCGGAAGCCTGGGCTCCGGCCAGACCTCACCACACGAGCCTGACGGCAAGGGTTCACGTAGATGCTAGCGCTGCTTCATGCCCTCTGATCATGTGTGTGGTCATGCCACTCAAAACAGCAAAGAAGCCTCCAAGTTGAAGAACTCTGCTCATAGCACAGACATTGTAACAGCTCCTGAAACATGCTCCCCAGCCTTCCGAGTGGCCCGCGTAGGTGGCGGGGCTCAGCAGCTTCCTGCCCACTCACCTACTGCAAAGCCGGCCGCCCCGGACAGGCAGGGACCAAGAGGGCGGTGCTGCGGAGGACTGGAAATGGCACTAAAGACCTGCATCTGAAATGCACCGTCCCACCGTGACACTGTGCTAACAGATGATGGGGGGGCACTACTGTGGCTCAGGGAGGCTTCTGAGGGCTGGCGTGGTTCTCCGGCTGCTCCAGATTCTCATCAACTTAATAACTGTGCCCCTACAGGGCGCAGGATTCGGCACCCCTCCACCCCGGGCCACTGACCTGAACAACACTGCTAAAAGGGGACGAGGCCTGGGCTAAGCCCTGCAGGAGTGGCATTTAGCCCACCTGCCTGTTCCTCATGCCTGTAGCAAAGCAGCCCAGGCAAAGTTGTTTCAACTAATACCCCACTTTCACAAAACCAATTAACAATGGCAGGTGAGGGTTTTCCCTTTAGTGGAAAGTGAAAGTTACAAGTCAGAATGGCAGAGAGACGTCTCCTACCTGCTGTTCCCCATCTCTTGATGGACTGTCCTCCATGCCTGAAATCATGGCTAGTATTTATGTAGCACTATGAGGCTGAAAAGTGGTTTATATGTTATCCCACTGGATCCTCTCAGCAACCCTCAGAAGTAGATGCTTTATTATTGTCACCATTTTACAGTTGAGGAAACTGAGGTAGGGGGAAGGGCAGTGACTTGCCTAGCTAGTAAGGTTTCAGGAGGATTTGAGCTCAGACCATCCTGCCTCCAGGTTGGTGCCACCTCAGTGCCATCTCCGGTTGGCCCCTCAGAATCCCTGGCTTTCCTTTCCGCTCCAGCACCAACCACCTGCTATTGTCTATCTTGTACTGGCTTTCGGGAACACGGATATGTCCTCTCCT